TCATCCTCGTTTCTCAGAGCCATAGAGCACAAAACCATTTCCAATTGGATTTTGTGCTTGTGTCTAGTTCATTGGCCAGTAATGATTTTTGAGATGTGTTCAATTCGGTGGATTGTTAAAGAGAGGTTTTTATCTCTTTTATTTACTGCTCACTACGAACATCTGTTTCAAATTTACCGCATTCTGTATTCGAAATAAACGTTCTACTTGTCCGTAGGAAGTGCACATTGAAATTCTTTCCTTACCTCTGGTTATCCTCAGTCATTTTGACGTCGATCACATGCGATTTCAAATAAAATACCGCAAAATCGCCAATGTAATTGGACATAGATTTGGTGTGAATTTAAAGATCTGCTAACAACTAAGTTAGTGGTTAGCAGGTCATGAGGGCATTTTCAATTGGGTATTGTCGTTCGTTTGAAGCATTTATCTGTAATCATTTGCTGTGTTCTCAGCTGTGCATTTTGAGTTGGTGGTTCCTCTTTAAGCAATGAAATGATGAGATATCTGTCCAATTTTGTGTCATTTCATCATCAGACTGAAGTTCGTTCAAGCCAATTTCATTCTCCTCAAGCGTAACTGATCCATCCTAGAGTCGTCGTTTTGTCATTTTGACTTTGAGACTGTGAGACTGCGCAATTGAAATTCAGTTCAACAATTGTTCAAAAAGCAGTTCAACTTTGAATATTCACAAGGCAGTTGAAAAACGCATGTTACGGTTGCGGCTCTATCACGATTTTCATCATGAATATCAGTGACGAATGCCCTAAGTCTTATCGTAAACATTTACTGGCGTTGACTTAGGCCTGTGAATGTGTTTTGTGCGCGATTCGAGAATGTGCTCGGGACTTTAATCGTTTCTCCTATTTGATTTCTTCCATTTGTGAGACAGTTAATGTGATCTTTCAGACCAACAGTTCATATTGACCTGCGAACTTGTTTTAAACCAACAATGAGAGCAGATTACCAAATGAATTTTTATTTATGTAAGTTATCGATCTTCTTTTATTATTTCCCAATATTTCTCCACGATTCTATACCGATCATGTCATTTAAACTGAATGTGATGAAACAATTGCTTCTCATGTTCTAATTTCACGTTCATAACTTACAGTACTAACATCACTTACTGTTTCGTCTGCTACAACTACTCCTGTATCCACTTCAACTGCAACTTTTATCCGTTCGAAACGGTACCATTGTGAGGAAGAGATTCTCGACGCACAACGGACCGACGAAGAGGCTAATGATAAACAAGAGGAATTGGTAGACGCTGATCAATTGTATGATGGCAATGAGGATACGTGCAAAGCGCGGTGTGATGCGCAGTGGAAGAGTGACTTTAATGTTCGTTTTTCATGCAAAATAATGCTGATGGCAATGGCGGTTATGATGCGATATTCAATGAACCCATCATTTAAGCATTCATTAAGGTTTTCTTTAGCCAATCAAGTATTAAACTACTGAAGTAAGATTCGATCTCCTCTCTCGATCTAATTTGACTATGCACATACATGGAAGTGATAGAATTACATGAAGATTCCATCCTTTAGCACCAAAAAATATCACTCATTTCATGAATTACTGCGTGCAGATATTCAAGAAGTCTTTCGAATGCACGATGATTCAATTAGTGCGCTTTATTCGTTTAACTGACAACAGAATTTGACTCGTTTTGGTTCAGACAGGAAGCTCACCGCTACTGCACTCAATCGAATTCTTCGTCGGTGCAAGATGCACACTCAATGCGTAACCGAAAAATTCCGCCCATTTTTTTCCTTACTCAAGCATTTCTGCAAAATTTAGTTTGATTTTTNTCAATGCGTAACCGAAAAATTCCGCCCATTTTTTTCCTTACTCAAGCATTTCTGCAAAATTTAGTTTGATTTTTGCATCGTGCTTTTTATTCTGGAAGTGTATCGAAAAGGATGCTCTCGATTACTTAGAAGTGATTACGGAAAAAATCATGCAAAAAAAGACCGAATAAAACGACATCAAAAACAATGCGATGACTTTAATGAGCCTCATTAAGTACCATCACCCACAAGTGCACTACAGTGCTTCACGTGTTCCACTGAACGCATTGCATGTGCTGTTTCGGCATTCTGATTGTTTATTATCGCATTCAAATCAGCCAGAAGATACACTTATCTGTGAGATATGATGTGCTTTAAGATCCATAAAAAGTTTCATAGTTGACAGCAGTCCTAAATCAATCCAAATCACTCTTTAAAGATATCGTTTGCGGTTTTTTTGGACATTTAAATGCTATTCTCTTGTTTGTTTGTTTGTGAACATAAATATCTCTGAACATCAAATAGGTAATACCGCTTGAAAGGCATTTGCAAACTGTTTCATCTCATATAATAAATTCAAGTGAAAGTTTATGTTCAACGAATTTGTGATCCATTTCCAAGCTGTTCGAGCAAACAGCAGAAAGTATCGCATTTTCAGCCATCAATTGTGTGTGATGCAGACAAATACGAAGGATAATTTCATTGAAATCCCCGTAGTATTCGGTCTTTCTTATCATGATGAGGGACGTATTCGTTCTCAACTCAGTGCCTT